AATTCCTGAGGAGATGGGGGCTCTCCTTAAATCCCTCCTGATCAGCCAGATCACACCGGGTAGTAAGGCTCGTTCCGTACGAGGGTAAATAAGAGTGGATGGGCTGGCTTGCTCGGCAATGACTTGGGGCACAGGGGTGGGCCGACAATACACACGAAGACACTGCTGCTCAAAGATGCTCTTCGGCATGTTGGATTGAGGGGAGGGTAGGTTCTAATTGGTGCTCAACTCTGAATACAACTATACCCACTGTTCATACATCTGCAACATAGTATGGTTTTGTTCTTGATTAGTGGTTGACAGACTGCTAATACCTCACAGACAGCTTAGTAGTAGGACTGCTGTATGCTACCAAAGCCAGTTCTCTGCAAACTTTTGTAAGTGAACTAATCATGACAAGACCAAACTATGTAGACAGTCTTTTGTGAATGTTGTAGGCTGCCACTAGATCGGTCAAGTAGGGGACCTGCCGGACACAATTATTTTTAGAAAATTAGGTGCTGGTCAGACACATGTTGTGGTAGGACTCCAGCAGGGAGTTGTAGTGCAGTTAGTGTTTGCCTAACTGATGAGCAGGTCAGACACCGATGAGGGTGGAGTTGACGACGTGAGACTTCACGTTCGGGATCACTTAGGGTCCCACACGTGTTTCAGACCTTACAACCGGGAGACGAAAGACGGCTTCATGCCGAACATAGAGCCCGTGCTCTTGCAGCAGCGAGGGCAGCAGCAAACCTAGCAGCTAGAGAACAGGCAGCAGCAGCCAGAGCAGCCGCGATGGCTAACGGTGCAGCCTCTGCTGCATCCTCGTCAGGGACCCTATTGGGAATGCCCTCAGGGCCCGCAGGTACTTCCGGATCAATAGGTGCTGGACAGTCCACAAGTCAAATGGTGGGCTCGCAGTTAAGCCCGTTGACCCCACGCGGCAGGGAGCTCCTAGAGCTTCAACAGGTCGAAAGGATCCGCGAGCGGTTAGAGAGGGAACTGAAGCAAGCTACCGATAGAGAAAGAGAGATTAAAAATAGAACAGCCAGGCTTGATACGTTAGAGGCAGACAAAGCTGCATTAGAGGGTTTGGATGAGTCAGCCATGTCTGACCAAATGAAAATATTGAAGAACAGTATGCTTTCGCTGCATGCACATGTGGACAGCAGACTGGATTTCATGCAGAACTCTTTGGACCAGATCTTGGACCTTTTGCAAAGGCCAGGATTCCGGCCAGCAGCAGAGTCGCCATTGCCGTGAACGACTATGTCAGGCCCCTTTCCGGTACAAGCTGGCACACAACCAAGTGGTACGTCTGCAGCAGCCGCACAKACTGTTGCTTCTTCTTCTTCTGGGTCAGCGGTGGTTGCTGCACCATCACCGCAACAACCTGTTCCTCAACAGGGACAGCAGCAAGGTCAATGGTACCCAAAGACCCCTATGAAACCGCCCCTTGCCTTCTCCGGAGAGAAGAAGGATGAGGAACTCAACACATGGTTGACAACGGTTCCAATGTGGGTAAAGGCAAAGAGGACTTTGCAGGAGGAGGAGGTGATTACTGCTGCATCTTACCTTGAGGGTAAGGCAGCCAAATGGCTAGATGGATTAGTAGCAAAGGCCGGGTACGGACGACGAATGGCAGACTGGGCTAAGACCCTTACATTAGAACAGTTCTTAGAAACGGTAGAAGCTCGCTGACACAATTCACAGCAGGCACAAATTGCCACTGATGCGATGCATAGACTAGACCAACGAAAGTTCAAGTCAGTCAGAGAGCTAACGACTACCGTAGAGAGCCTCATCGTAGTTCCTGGCATACACTACGATGACCAGGTCTTATTGACCATGTTTGTGAGATGTCTACCAGAGAATCTAAGGAACTTACTAGCCAGCGAGGCTCGCCTCGAGTATCACTTGTTTGAGACACTATCTAGAAAAGCCTTAGACTTAGAGGCTACTCTAGGAAGTGCTCAGCCTACTCAAGTCGACACAAGGAAGAAGAAGAGTCCACAGGAATGGAAGAAGAAGGGGAGCAAATTGATGATGGTTGAGTCCGATGGGACTCAAACTGAGATCGAAGAGCTCACAGACCTGTTGGACTATTCAGAGTACGACGGCGAGGAAATCGTTGAGGGTAGCACCCTCGCCGCAGTTGTAAAAACTAAGGCCGGTGACCGAGGGAAGGGCCATCAAAAGAGTCGAGGGCAGGCCGCCTCCAATCAGACCAAAGTTGCTGATTGGGCCAAGGCAGGTCTTGATCAAGAAGTGTGGCGGGATTGCCGAGTGCGTGGCGCTTGCATTAATTGTGGTGAATACGGACACACCCAGTATAAGTGCAAGAACGCAAAGGTCACGCAGAAGATACCTCCTAAGATGGGGGCACCTTCTTCCCAGGCTTCTAGCTCGGGAAACACGTAAGGCCGGTGGAAGTTTTAGCTGCTTCTACTCATGATGAAGTGGGCCAGATACCCTCCCCACTTCATGAGATGGCCATAGCTAATGACTCTTTAGTCACCCTGCAGACTCATCCAGACCAAACCATGCTCTGTATGTTAGATGTGTCTGAAGCCTTAGAAGATTTGGAAAGTGAGTGGTCAAGTAAGGACCCTCGTGAATCTTGGGTGGCACTAAGGAAAGGTCCTAGAGGGGAACATTTCGTTGTGGAAGTTGATGTAGGAGGCCGCAAATGTGGTGCCTTCATAGACATCGGCTCCACGCGGAACTACATAAGTCGCCACTGTTTGGAAAGGCTGCACCTACAGGACCGGGTACAACACCTTAGTAGACCCGAGCATCTACTTTGGCCAATAAGGAGCGCATGATTGTCACAGACTATATCAAGGATGTAGTCTGCACCTTCTCCTATGGAGGAGGGGAACTTAATCAGAAGATTTCGTTCCTGGTTAGCGACGACTTACCGTTTGATATGTTGTTGGGAATGTACTACCTTGAGGTTGCCAAGCCCAGTTTGACTGGGACAAGAAGGTGCTAAAGCATAAGTTGCCTGATGGAAAAACAGTTAGAGTGACTAAGTTCAAAGCCAGTAGTATAATCGATACCTATGGCTGCTTGTGTGCATCAGCGTTCTATAACTATTATAAACAAAACCAAGAGGAGGGTATGTACATAGTGTATGTCTTTGAGAAAGGGGCGGCCGTTAAAACACCCCCAAAGATAGAACACATCGTAGAGAGGGAGATTGTCCACGTCTGTTTAAGGAGCCTACTGGAGTCGTAGAGAGGGAGATTGTCCACGCCATAGAAATCATTCCAGGGAGTAAGACCCCAAAGGGAAGGATCTATAGGATGGCTCCGACCGAGTTGGACGAGCTTTGGCGACAACTAAAAGAGCTTACAGAGAAGGGATGAATCCGACCGAGTACTTCCCCCTATGGATCTCGGTACAATGAGGATGTGCATTGATTATAGAGGCCTTCATGCCATCACAGTAAAGAACGCAGAGCCTCTACCTCGCATAGACGACCTATTGGATAGGGTGCAGGGATGTAAGTACTACAGCAGGATAGACTTAAAATCCGGCTACCATCGGATTGCAATAAGACCTGAGGATCAGCACAAAACTACTTTTCAAACCAGATACGGTCTGTATGAGTTTGTAGTGATGCCCTTTGGCCTTTGCAATGCGCTGGGTACATTCCAGCACGTGGAGACTGTACTTTCACTCTTGCGGCAGCATAAGTATAAGGTCAACCTAGAGAAATGTGAGTTCGAACGCACTAAGATCATATACTTGGGTCATGAAGTATCCGCGGAAGGTATTAGGCCGGAAGATGCGAAGGTGGCTAGTATCAGGGACTGGCCACGACCTCAGACTGTTACTGAGGTTTGATCTTTCTTAGGAATGTGCGGCTACTATACGAACTTTGTAAAGAACTATTCTACAGTCACCTCTCCTTTGACTGATCTAACTCGACTTGACACGCCGTGGGACTGGAGTGATGAGTGTGAGGCTGCTTTCAAACGATTGAAGCATGCACTCATGGTGCCCGATCCTCAGAAGCCTTTCATCGTAATCACTGACGCAAGCCAATACGGCATTGGCGCAGTACTAGCGCAACAGGATGGGAAAAAGTTGAGACCGATTGAGTATATGAGCAAAAAGATGCCATCAAAGAAACTGGCAAAGTCCACCTATGAAGGGAACTCTATGCTCTTTACAAAGCACTTGTTCATTGGAGGCACTTCCTGTTGGGACGGTTTTTCTACTTGAGAACTGACCATCAGACCCTCAAATGGATCAAGACTCAACCGGCTCTTTCTGATGCACTCAAGCGTTGGATTGAGGTCATAGATCAGTATGACTTCAAGCTAGAGTATCTGAAGGGGTAGTCCAACAAGGTTGCAGATGCGCTGTCACGTAGAGCAGACTAGCTAGGGGCGCTAATTTCTGAGTTTGGTGTATCTGAGGAACTAACTCAATCGCTGGTGGGAGCCTATCAGGAAGACCCTATCACGATGGACATCATACGCAAACTTCAGGCGAAAGACAAGGCCACAAAAGATGAGTTTGTGATGGTGGACGGACTTCTGTTTCTTGATAAGGCCGGTTGTAAAAGATTAGTGATTCCATCTAGTGAACGTTTGCGTAGTTCATTTCTAGGAGAATGTCATGATGCAACCGGACACTTTGGTTACAAAAAGACAAGTGCTAACCTAGTACAACGATTTTGGTGGCCTGGAATGCTAGAAGATGCAAAGAAATATGTGGAGAACTGTTAGGTCTGTCAGCGGGACAAGCCGCGAACTCAAGCACCGCTTGGGTTGCTAAAGCCCTTGCCTATCCCCGCTGGTCCAGGACAGAGTGTTTCCATGGACTTCATGGACACCCTGGCGACTAGTAAGAGTGGCCAGAGGCACATCTTTATCATCATTGATCGATTCACCAAATACGTTTAATTGCCATGCCAGAGACCGCAAGGACTCACCACGTCATCAAGTTGTTCATGGACAACTGGGTGCGTGATTTTGGTTTACCAAAGTCAATCGATAGTGACAGAGATGTCCGCTTCACATGTGAGCTGTGGAAGAAGATTGCTGAGCAGATGGGCAGTTAACTTCAAATGACTCCACGGAATCATCCCGAAGCCAACGGACAGGCCGAGCAGATGAACCGAATTGTACAACACCTGCTGAGGCATTATATCAAGCCCAGCCAGGATGACTGGGATGAGAAGTTGCCTCTCATCGCCAGCCTGTACAACAACGATGTACACAGCAGTACCGACGTTAGTCCTAACCAGCTGCACTTGGGATGGAAGCGTAGATCAGCTCTGGACTTCCTCCTACCTGAAAACCGACCCTCTGCAACTCCAGGCACATTTGAGTACAGTGTGCAGTATGAGAAGTTGCTGCAGCAAGCTGTCGAGCACATCAAGAAAGCTCAGCAAGAAATGATTGCTTTTGAGAACAAACATCGTCGACAGTCCTCATTTCAGGCAGGGGAACGTGTCTGGGTCAAGGCTAGTGAGCTAGGACAGGAATTCGGCATCTCTCGCAAACTAATGCCTCAGTATTTTGGTCCATGGGAAATCCTGGATATAGTTGGGGATGAGATGGATGGTCCTACCTATGTTATCCGTATCCCTGGTCACTTATGCACTCACCCTGTCTTTCATGCCTCAAAGCTTGCACCTTTCGCTGAGACAGATCAAATTCCTTCCAGGAGATCAATGCTGCCCCCAACCATGGATGGTCAAGTGGACATCGACGACATTGTGGATCACAAAGATCTGTCTGTTCCAAAGCCGCTGGGTAGAGGAAGACCTCCAAAACCCAAGCGGGAGTATCACGTCAGATTCAGGCATCATATGGATCCGAAGAAAGATCGGTGGTTTACCAGAGAGGAACTGATTGACACAACTCCTCAAGTGGTGGCAGATTATGAGAGAATGTTAAAAGGGAAGGCACCTGCGAAGTAAGCATCTTAGCGGACTTTCGAAGCTAAAGGGGATGGAATGTGAGGATTGAGCCCTCAAGAAGGGGCCTTGCCATAATGTACATGTTCTGGGCTAAGGCCCCAGCAAGTCTCGTCCCCGCCCTAAGTGAAGGCGGGCCAGCAAATCAACAAGAGCCCTCTGTGCAAACATTTCACGAAGTGGGGTCCATACAGTTGCAGCACGCCAGTTGGTTGGAGTGCATCGAGTATTGGAGCTCTGCAAATGCAGAAAATCCCAGGGCCGCAGAGTTGGTTAGGACCTGGGCACATAAACGTGAGGCCGACAATGCATGCTGGATATCGAGGCCGAAAATGCCAATGGGAAACCGGTCCACTATCTGAATCTGGCCGCAGGCCTCGATGAAAGAGGCGCAACTGCATCTCCTAGGCCCCAACCGCATTGGGCCTGGGTACAGGTACTGGGGCCCAGGCGCAGGCTCAAGGGAGGCCGCCCACACGCAACACTGGCATATAGGCAGGGAGGGCGAGTGGGCAGGGAACTTGGCCATTGCGAGCAAGGCCGGCACGCTGCTGCGTTGCATGTGTGCTGCGCTGCGCTAGGCTGAGCCAGGCAGGCTGGCGCTAAGCGGTAGAGCGCAGCCTGGGTGCAGGGCGCTGGCGGCCATAGCCGGGCTGCCTGTGGGCGCAGGAGGAGGTGAAGGGCGAAGGTGGTTCTTCATAGGTGAAGGGCGAAGGTGGTTCTTCGGAGGTGAAGGGCGCTGTGTGGGATATCAAGGGAGAGTGAGGGTGAAGAGAAGGACGTATCTGGTGGAGAGGAGGTCGGCATTGGTGTTGACATCATCACTCGCTGGTCATCAAGTTGTCTGGTTGCTTCCATGCTGTAGTTGTAGTGATAGGCTGTAGAGTTGGTAGGGCGCCTAGCGCCATTCAAGAGAAAGAGCTACATTGGGTTATGCTGTTGGTGTTGCCCGATTGGGCTTGGACATTGACTCACGATTCTTTCGTATCGTTCTCAAATGGATGGTTACTCCGTTCCATTGTGGTATCTGCTCTTGCTTTGACTACTTCGACTTCAGAGTGATTTTGCAATCTGGATTTCTGTGCTTCGTCCACATTCATGTTCCTTGCAGTATTTTCAATTTTTTTGAAAAAGAATGAATGAAAAGTAGTTTCGAATTTCAAAGGAATATCGAAAAAGAATTCATTAATTCTACGTATTTTGAATTACGAAAAAAAATAAATGTCAAAAAAAGAATTTAATTTATTTTAAAAGATTTTCGAGTTACAAAAATTTCAAAAAAGAATTAATTCAAATTATTTTCGAATTCTGAAGAAGAGATGCCAAGAAAGAATGATTAATCCTACGTATTTTCAAAAATTTTAAAAAAGAAAATATTTTTGAAAAAGAAATGTGGAGAGAGATAGTTAATGAAGTATTTTTGAATTTACATGCATTTCAAGTGAGTTCTAAGAACAAAAAAAAACAAAAAACTAAAAATAAAGGAATAAATAAGTTTTGATGTAAATCAAGGGCGGAGAGATCCTATCTACGATCGATTGGGTGGTAGCGTGGTAGGTAGGGTCAAAAAAAAAAAAGGGGGTTGCACGGGATGATGATGATGATGATGATGATGATGATGATGATGATGAT